ATGATTAATGATATTTGATAATTGCGATTGCAGAAATTTGCGTTATTTCTCACAAAGCAAGTTTAATAATGTATGCATGTTCAGATCACTGTGACGATGTAACATTGTGAAATTTAAGTGCATTTGATGCATTATCCAATCATTTACGAGTTTTTGAGACGAACATCATTTAAATCGCTACACTACGTGATTTCATCACTCCGTTCCTGGTATCCCCCTTTCCTGGTTTCGCGCAACTGCATTGCGCAGCTATCTTATTTGTATATCTTTACGAATTTAACTGTCTAAATGTGAGAATATGATTGACTATATGTACGAATTAGAGGCAATCAATTTCACCATCTAAAATTTCAAAATTACTTATTTGAGTGTCGCTTAAAGGCAGGTACGTACGTGCGCACCAGAGGCAGTGGATTTTTATAGCATCTAAAATAGTGCTATTTTCTAACAAATAGCCAGTAACGCTGTTTTATGCTAAGATGTGACTTTTGCTATTATCGTACTAAATACATGATTATTACCTTTACTGATTGGTCAAATTTATGGTTCAAATATAGTTTGTATGGTATATGGATCCTATTAATAAAATTGATTAATAATCGGTTGATTTATAAAATGATTTTTTGACATTACATTTAATATAATTTATATAATAATATTACACTGAATTATTATCGTAAATAACAATCTGGATTCATATTTAAGCACAAAAGACAAAATAGATTACTGAACCTGGTGAAATATCAAATCAATCAAAGTTAACTATATAAACAAGGTATTAATGTTGAATTAATTAAAGCCTTTATTTAGATTCCTTTTGATTGTAGATATGGAGCGTTTATTCTCAAATTATAAGCATATTCTAGATTAGTGAAGATGGAGTAAATATTTTTTAAATATAAATTCATAATAAATTTTAGTTTGTGAATTTACTAATTATGCTAACTTTATTAGCTGTTTTCACTAGTTATGTTTGCTACTAATGCCATGGCAAAAGGTTCAAACAAAAAATACGAAGGTTAAAGATATTTTTTTTAGTATAATTATTGATCAACAAGGCCATAATATTATGCATGTATGCATGTGTATAGTACTTAAAGAATTATTTTAGGCGAAACACAGGAAATTAAATTCATTTAAACCTATATGCGGAATTAAAATATGAACTAATTCCTAAAACCTATTTTCATTGTATAAATTAGTATTCTTTGTTGTCTTGGAGGTTGAAATAACAGAGGGACCAGACGATTATTTGAGAACTCCGTTTCAGTTTATATTTCATGATATTTGAACAGAATCGCCTATAGAATATATGAACTTACATAAGAATTTTACAGGGTTAATCCTTTGTAATATTTCCGAATAGATTATATGAAAACTAAATTTATTTGTTTAATGGAGCACTAGTCCTGTGAAATGGCAAGAAGAATGTTCTCGGAAGTTCTCTCCGAACTCTTAATGTAAGGCAGGAGATTAGGTGTAACATTTCTCGAACTTCCGTTACCTTGGTTTATAAAACAATACCTTAATAGAAGTGCTTAATAGGAAAGTAATGGAACATATTTAGTGCGTTCATATCCGATACTATTCTTATTATTAATCTACTTAATCAAAGATATCATTATATTTTTAGCGAGCTATCATGAACTTGAATTGTTATTATTTTCCTGTATTAATATTTACATTTGGAAATAAATCATACGGATTAGTACATATACGCATAGTGACCTTGATTTTATACTTAAATTTTCGTTAATATAACTACATATAAAACATTAAAATTTTTTTATAGTTATGCTTATAAATGAGATTCATTGTGTGTAAATTTGTCAACAATTGAGTTACTTATAAACTCAATTTCCGATAAAATGTAACATAAACGAACAGCCTAATTTAGAAAAGATTTTATGATTTATTTTAATTGATGCGTACACAGCGTTATTTCATTATTATGCCTCTTATGGTAATCATAGCAATCAGGAAAATGAGTATGGAAGAGGTAATTAATAAACACACTACGCGTATGACCTAAGGTAATAATCGTCAATTCGCGACATCTTGATAATAGCAATTGTAAGATTCGAGAGAATTGTTTGATTAAAAGGATATAATTAAAATAATAGTAAAAATACTCTTACTTTGAAATAACGTAGTACTCAGTAAGTTGTTATAAGTTGTATATTAAGATTTCGGACTATGAAATGCTTCAATATAATATGATGCATCTTTTTTTTTTTCTAATTTCAAAATTTCAGTTTTACAACAATGAAATAAATTTGTTATTCAGTTGCCTAATTTGGTTTTCATTTTTCTCTTTTTTATTTATTTAAACCCCAATAATTAATTCTCGTAAGCTAATTCTTTTCTTATATAGATACTTTCAATTCTTGTATATCTGACCCTTGTATTCTTGTATAGTTTATTTAAATACTTTTCGCAATTATATATCATGCATATTGAGCATAATAGCAATATCTATTCATCTCTTGACATCGTATGCTTTAGTGATGTGATCTATGACTATGAACGCTTTGAAAATCTCGAAACTTTAAGTGTAGGTAAATCTGGTAGAACTTATAAAGCTTCTCTGAAGGACCATGGTAATCCTTTAGTTTTAAACCCCGTAATTTTATCAAAAGAATTTACAGTAAAAGATCTTGAATGCCAGGTATATAGGTATTCTTTTATTCAATTTAATGTTGGTATAATTAATTGACTTATCACTTTATAACATTAAAGCTTATAAAACGTGAATCAATTGATTGTAAAAATATTTTACGATTTTATGGCTTAACTAAACCAGGTATTTATCATTAAAAACAAATTTAAACTCAATATTATTCGTTAACTTTATAATTTAAATTTTTTTATCCAAGATTCAAGTACATATATGTTAGTATATGAATACGCAAATAATGGAACGCTTCGATGTTATTTGGAACAGAATTATTCTACTTTTGATTGGAATATTAAACTACGCTTAGCAAAACTGCTTGCTAACGCTATAATGTTTCTTCATAAAAATAACATAATTCACGGAAATTTGGTAATTCATCCTTATTTTTTTTTTATTCTAATTTATTCTTCGCTCATAAAGTATGCATTAAATATATATAAACTTATTCTTTATTTTGGTACAAAGAATTCAGAAAGTATTTTTGCTCACAATTCCTCGATAAAAATAGGAAATTTCTCGAATTCACTTATAAATTCAAAAACAAATCCATTTTCTTTATTAATCGGTCACGTTCAATATTTTGATCCTATGTTTTTAAGTGATCCAAAATCCTACACTTTAAATGAAAAGTCTGACATTTATAGTCTTGGTATACTGTTATGGGAAATTTCAAGTGGTTCTATTCCATTTGAATCTGAAATGCCAATAGGCTTTAATTTATTGAATGCTATTATTCATGGAAAACGTGAAAGTGTTATTGCTAAAACTCCAAAACTATATTCTGATATTTATAAAGGTAAAATAATTTAAAAAATTCTATTAAACCTTTAAGATATAAATTTTTTAACAATTAGTTTTATTATTAACAGAATGTTGGAAACATGATGCAAAAGAACGTCCTACTATTCAATCCGTTAATAAAATGCTAGATCAGATAAATATAAAAAAAGATCTAAATGTACATAATGAGAAAATTCGCAAAATATCTTATTATACGGGTAAAGAAAAATATATAGTAAAGCATACTCTTAATCATTATAGATATTCCCAAAAACTTGCATTATAATATCCTTTATTAAGTTACCTTTCTATCAATAATAAATATTCTTATTTATGTATTTCACATTCATTACTACAATTTCATGTATTTCATATTCATTACTGCGATTTTAATTAATAGATAATGGTTGAACCTCTATTAACACCATAATTCAAGAATAAAATCTATCTAGGTCAAATTTTATAGTGATCGAAATAGTGCACAAAAATCATGACGTAATTTTAGCTATTCTCATAATTCAAATAAATCACGTGTCCTAACCGTCCTTTATAATCTTCCCACCAAAATTTTGCAGTCACATGAGGACCGAAACTTCGTTTAGGTTAGGTTAGGGCCTATGCTAATGTTAGGATAGAGAAAATTTAATAGTAAAATCGTAGCACTAATAGGTGGTTTTTATACTGCGTTGTTTTGATTGTGTAACGATCCGCCTGATCTTGGAATCTGATTTGTTTGCGCCACAAAAATTTCACGTGACTGCTCCATTTTGGTTATATGGGGTGCCGTCAGTCAAAACGTCCCATAGTGAGATTATTAATATGTTACACAAAATGATAAAAAATCAGAA